AATTTTCCATCTGTTGTGAGACTTTTTTCCTGGGATGCTAAGCAATGCTTATTCCCTTTTAAGGTTCTAGTGTCAAGCCAATGTTTGATTAAAGTTTTACTGGGGAACCAATGAATTTATCAAGCTTACTTACCGAGATAACTGGGGGGTTGCTGAGGTGCATGTGTGACCTGAGGGTGTGCATACTGAAAAGCCTTTACCCAGCATGGGTCATGCCTTCTCTTCCTAGCCTTTCTCAGATTGTATACTTTAGCCATTTTATGGACAGCAACAAAGGTATATACATGCAGCATAGATCCAGCACATCTTAAATGATTTCTAATAATAAATACCACAAAGCTAATCTGCACCTTTTTGTCTAAAAAACATCAGAGCAGTTATTAATTTTTCAACAATATACGTTGTAAGGTTAGTCTGTTATCAGTGACAAGCAGTGTGCATTGTTCCTGTCAGTATAATAGTCTGCTGTACTCCAAAAGCAAATTTGAGATTGCCATCTTACCATGAGCAAGGCACATTTGAAAATACATATAAGAACCTCTCACGAGCCCCACCCCTTGTCTCTCCTCTTGTCAGACCCATAGGTCTCAGACATTTCAGAGCTGATTCCCCTTTGTGACACTTAGCTACTCTACAGTGACTTTTAGATTGATGGCACTTGTTTACAATGCTTTTTGGTATCTGCAATAACATTCACTCCCATTTTTTAAAATCCTTAATTCTTTGTTATTTAATACTCCTAGAGTTCATCGTGCCCACAGTCCCTTTCTGCAGGTCAACTACTTATGGATTTGTGTGGGGTTTTGTTTGTCCACATGGGTAACTCAGCACCTGTTTAAGCATAACTCCCAGCAGCCCCAAATCCACTCACACAGATCTGTTGATGACAATCGAAGCAGCCCTGAAGATTTGCCCAGGAACACATATGACCTGAAGCCATCCTTGGACACTGCTTTCCCAAGGTGTCTTTGGGGCTATTTCCGAACCCTTCTTTTACTGGACACTGCAGGTCTGCTTTGTCCCTTTCTGGGCCTCATAGTGGAACTTGTAATGCAAGGGTCAGTAAACTCTTATCCTCTGCCACATCTGCCCAGATATAATGAATAATGTTTTTACAGAATCATGTTGCATAACCTCTAAGTATTTTGTGAAATTTAACTTTGCGTGTATGCAAACAGTTTAATCAGAGTACAGCTCTGTTACTTGTTTGTGTTATCCGTGGCTACTCTCCTGCTTCAGTGGCAGCCATTGAGTGTTTGACAAAGACCATAGGCACGGGCCACAAAGCCTGAACCACTTTCAATCTAGCCCTTCACAGAAAGTTTGCCAACCCCACTAACAAGTGAATATGTGTTTCCTTCCCTCACACAGTAAGTCCTGGACCCTGAGGGGATTTCACATACACAACAAATTCATTTTTATATGGCAGTTGGTTATCTGTAAACTGACAGTCTGCATGCCAGCATGTGTGTATACATTCTGGGGTACACAGGGCTGCAGACAGTGGCTAGACTGGATTTCAACCCAGGGCAGGAGCCATCCCCACCTCCCCAGTTATCCTATATGTACCTGCCCAGGCATATGAAGCTGTATTTTATTGTACCTTCTTAACAATAAATGTTTGTTTTATGCTTAAATTAACTCATTAAAATGGAAATTTTTTCCTTAGATTTAATTCACTTTCTGCTAATGTGTATGAAGAAGTTGAAACCAATCAAAAGTGGACAGAAAACCAGTTTATCAAATACAGAAAAGACCACCTGAGCCACATAAATGAATGTCTGAAGGTTCTGCAGGAGAAACTGGTAAGAAAATCCACTGGTTCATGAAGTACATGTGGCTGTGATTGTTGTCTGGAGATAAATGGCAAGAAAAGGTCTGGGCAGGTGCCCGCCAGTTTTGACAAGATTCATCACTGCATCAGGGGGTTATTTATTGTCTAACCCTTCTATATAGAAGTCTTGTGCCTGCCTTCTGGTCCTGATAACTCCTCCCCAGTTGTATGAGCCTAGCTTCCTCAGAGTGTGCTCTCTGTGTACCAAAATAATATGAAGAATTTTTAAAAATAAACAAAAATCGTATTCTAAGCCCAAAGCTGGGAATCAACTCCACTTGAAATCTGTGGCTCTCAACAACTTCCCTGGGTGACGCTTGGACACATGAAAGGTTGGAAACTTCTACTAACACTAGCCATTTCATTTACCCTGTCTAGAGATTCATTAGTAGATCAAAATTTTAAGCACTCAGGGGCTGGGGAGATGGCTCAGTGGTTAAGAGCACCGGCTGCTCTTGCAGAGGACTTGGTTTGGTTCCCAGGACCCACACAGGAGCTAACAACTGTCTGTAACTCCAGTTTCATGGGATCTGATGCCCTTTTCTGGCCTCCATAGGCACTGTATGCATGTGGTGCACTTACATACATGCATACAAAACACTCATACCCATAAATTAAAAAAAAATACTTTTAAACATTTCAAGAACGCTTCCAGATCAGACCACATGAAGAAATCTCCAGCCTTTGGAGTGAGGTTGTCAAGGCATATGAAAAAAAAAGAAGAAAAAGCCTATGTCTATGCTTCCTTCTCTTTGCAGCCAGCATCTCAGTTCCACAGAAGAAAGCAGTACAGGGTGCTGATGGTGGTCAGTGACTGCCTGCCAGGCAGGTAGTTCAGATCGGGTGTTCCGAGAACTTCCTTAAGGTGCTGTAAGCAGCTCAGTAAAAATAACACATTGAGGTAGGGATCAAGAGTTGGAGATAAACATAATGGCTTTATCGCTGCTATGACTATCAAAGTATGTGCAGTTGAATTCGTACCTGCCAGTTCTTCACCCCTGAAATCAGTCGGATTCCTCTACCAGTTATAGGCAGGAAGTTGACCCCTAGGGTCACTCTTGAGGAAGAGACTAAATCCACCATTCCTGAGGCAGGTAGCACGAGAAAGAACCAAAGGCATGCTGGTGGTTGTCAGTCCCTCCTCTCTAATTTTCTGTGGAAAACCAAACAGATCTAAGGCTGCCTCTGCAGCCCCCATCCTATACCCGAGAATTAGCTTGCAGCTTTTCTACTGTGTTAATTCCTGAGCTCCATCATAAACCAATTAAATCAGTACTTCTGGGGATGGGGTATGATCTAAGAAATTGTAAAAACAAAAACAAACAACAAAAAAACTTGGCATGGAGAAGCACCTTTCTAGCTGAAACTGGTCCACAGGGAGATGAGGTTCTTAGGTTATAACAATTAGTTCTGCTGGGCATGGTGGCCCATGCCTTTAGTCCCAGCACTTGGGAGGCAGAAGCAGGCAGGTCTCTGTGAGATCGAGGCCAATCTGGTCTAGATAGCAAGTGCCAGTCCAGCTGGGGCTACCAGGAGACCCTGTCTCAAAAGGACTAAAAAAAATAGAATTAGTTCCAACACTCAGGAGTATGTTCAAGGAGCTTGGAGAAAGTAGTAGCTAGTATCTTCCTTTGTGATACCTCTTTAAACATGAAACTAAAATTCCAGATCCTCAGTCCCTTCGGCAAGACCACAGCCCCTCTACATAACACCCAGAATCACAAGAGCCCCAAAATATAGCTGTTTCTCATACACCTTGAACAAAGTCAAACAAAGGAACAAACTTATACTTGTGACTACAGTTTTAGACATAGGGATCTTGGCTTGAATTTTCATGCTTACCCTGGGAAAAATATTCTCTAAGCTAAAATGTAAATCCACTTAAGTTCTCTTTTCTGAAAAGTTTTATCACATGATCTTTCTTTTAGGAAAAGTCTGAAAATAAGATGGAAGAAAAAATACTTCAGCTTTCAAGCAACCTGGAGAATTTTGTTAACTCGCAGAAACAGGAAGCAGAACTAAACAAAGTAAAGCATATAGAAAATAAATTATCCAAAAAGGTGAACCAAATGGAAAAGCGGCTCTGGGGTGAATTAGAGAAAATGCAGAATGACTATCAATCAGGTGAGCAGACCCCCTATAAGAAACTCCATCCTTCATGGTCCAACTCCTCAGAATATTCTACTTGTAGCCAGTGGCCAGGAGTCAGTCTCTGTCTTTGGTGACACTATGCATCTAATCTGGCTTCCCTAAACATCCTGCAGGAGGTCAGAATAATACTGAAAGGTATGTAAATGAGTCACCCTTCTTCACTGACACTTGGCAATGTCACAAGCCTGCCATTGCTGTGAGAACTTTTTACTGTCATTAGATCATTAGATCACAGAACTGTGACGTGTAAAGTTCTTAGACATCGTGAAGACCAGGCTTGTGGATATATTATAAAATTAGGAGCCTAAATCAAATGCCTCTCTCATTGAACTGCAGGTAATGAGCCTAGACAGATGTCAGGTTAGAAATTTGACCTTTACAAATGAGGAAGAGAGATGAATTAGCAGTCCTTGTAATGACTGTTTTACTTCTTTAGAAGCTAAAGGCAGCAGTGTCAAGCTGAGCTAACTTCAAAGAGGATTGATGTGAAAGATCTAATTTGTCAAAGGGAAAGACAAGAAATTGGGGCTGTGGAGCAGCCATCTGCCTAGAGTCACAATTCTGAGGAATTACTAAGAATCACAAGGGCTCCTTTTTTAGAGAGAGCTCTAACCCACTTTATGTTCTCCAGATCTTAGAAAAATTCATGTATAACTTATACCACATTTTGACAGAGACACATTGGAGATGCCCGAGAAGACACCATGGCATCCTTCTACTAGGTACTCCTAGCATATAAGTAGAATTTACTACCTAGAAACCTACATGTCACAAACCCCACCTTCCATCACCAAGTTAAAATAGTGAATTATATGACCAAGAATCATACCCCAAACTCAACTGACTCTTCTGACAAAGCCCCCCGCCTTTTCTGCTTAATTCTCAAGGTCTTAATTTTACTCATCATTACTACATGTTTACAATGAGTTGAAGAGAAATATTCAGTCTTTGTGTTTCTGCATTTTACTAAGTGGAAGTTCTGACAAAAAAGGACTACAAATTAATGGCTTGTTCTTTCATGCTTTTAATTAAAAAGTATGAGAAACAACTATGTCACAAGTCTCAGTGAGTAGAACATAGCCTGTACTCTCTGTTGGAGGCCTATCTTCTACGTTAGGTCTATTTTCATGAGTGACTACACACAAGACAGAAAAAAGGATGGGGAGGGAAGAGAGTAGGAGGCAGCCACTCTTTAGCTCCTTCAAACAGGTTACTTACAAAACTTCATCTGTGGTCTTTACTTTCAAGGGGACAAGAATGTTTTAAGACCCAGAAAGCTCTTATTAAAGCCTACAATAAGAAGAAAGTATTTTACATTTCCCCTGAAGTACAGATTATTTCGTTACATAATGTATGTAAGGAGAGGAAAAAGAAAATAGTTTTTGCAATAAAGTCAGAATCCAGTTGAGCCCGTCTTAATGATACACAAAAAGTTTGTACTTTTTTAGCTTGGTCTTAATGGAATTTAACGTGCTTTGAATTAAATGATGATCAATTGTGGTAGGACTGCTGAAGAACAGATTTTGAAGGAAAAAAGAGCCAATGCATTATTTAATTTACGCGCACCATTCTCTTTTCCTTTCCCAGGATTTAAATCAATTCTTGACTCTCTCAGCTCTCTCCAACAAATACAGAAAACAAAAATGGATTTAGAGAAATGTAAAGTACAGAAGGATCTGAAGAAATTACAGCGTAAGATAGTGTCACTCCAGGAAGTCTAATCTGCCAGTCTTCCTTCCCACCAGCTAGTGGAATGGTTTTCTGGGAAAAGCTGGGAAGAAGAAAGTTAACCTCCCTAGATTGGTTGTTGATTCCTAATGCTTCTGCATTTCTTATCACCTTTAAAGGAAATGAATATAAGGAAAAACTCAATAAATCAATAAACTTTAAAATCTCTTTAATTTATTAATAAAAACTCAAGGAATTTCTTCATATATATATGATGCCTATTATATTTTTATTTGTTTACAAATAAGAAAAGATCAACCCACACCATGTACCCAGATGACTGAAGTCTAAGCATAAGACATCAAAACATGGCAGGAATAGTATGAAACTCCTGACTCTAAAAAATAACCACCACTGTGTCGTTACAATTCATGAATAACCTGAATTTAGTCCACTATTCAAAAAACAAAAATCTGTTTTCAAGACAAACTTTTGGTGGCTGAAGAGATGGCTCAGCAGTTAAGAGCCCTGGCTGCTTTTACAGAAGACCCAGATTCAGTTCCCAGAACCCACATGGCAGCTAACAGTCATCCATAACTACAGTTCCAGGGCATTCAATGCCCTCTTCTGGCCTCCACAGACATTGTACACATGGGTACATTTACATACATAGGCAAAACTCATACACATAAAATAAAAAGTAAATAAAATTAAGAACTTTTCTATTTTTAGCATTAACATTTTAGTTCAAAATACTTCATGCACTATAAAGGAAACATCTGTGGGGCATAGATGATATAGATAGATGATTGACGATAGATAGATAGATAGATAGATAGATAGATAGATAGATAGATAGATAGATAGATAATAGATTAGATAGATACAAAGAT